AAATAAAGGCTTAAAGGCTCCCAGTCTCTAATCAAATCTGCAAGACTAACCTCCAGTCTTACCATCCACACACACGGGGCCCCCTTGCAGGGATTATCAAGACCACTTCAGCAACTCTGAACAATTCACATAAGTGAAGATCTGCTGCTCAATCAGGCCCTCTGGGAGTCATGGACTGGCAAATTTTGCAGCAGTCTGAAAATTTAAGCACAAGATGCTGCTTTCCCTACTGCTATCTAGAAAAAAAGCCTGTCACCCTAATTTCAAGGGTCTTCTCCTTCCTCTCTCTAGCCTTTTACTGGCATGTTTTCATAAATTTCAAAGATTACCCCAACTGCAAGCAGAAAGGGTTGGAACCAACCTGGGTCCAAGAATCACTTGCTTCCTTCAGATATCCTAGGGAAGAGGGATTTTCTGTTTAATCTTGGAGTACAATTATGTCAGTCATATCTAACTTACAATTTATTATTTTCTAGTAAGATCAAAAATGGATTTCTTGGCCATTCAGATATTTGTACATACACATTAACACAACATAAATCCTTTTCTAACAAGGCCTCCTATCCAGTCCTTCCATGTATTTCGAGAAAATACTTACGAAATGTTAATTTTGGTACTATGCCATTATTTTCCATAATTTTAATTAAATTTTCTATGCACACATGCAATTGGAGACATAACACAAGAACTAGCACTTCTTCTAGCCATGGTGAGGAGAGATTAAGAAGGTCCAGACTAAAGGGCTGGAGGACCAGGGAAGTACGCTGCTAGACCTAGCAATGGCATAGAGTCTGCTCAGCTGGACTTCTAATGTCAGCTTCTTGATTACTGCAGTTATCTACATTCTCTACATGAGAATCTACATTCTCATGCTGCACTAAGGAAATGCGTACCTTCATAGTGTAAAAGAATATAAAAAGTGCACTGAAAGACAGTTTAGGTCTTCAAGCTTCCCTAAATTAAGAAACATCAACTAGCTATGCAGGCTTTTTTCATGCTTCTACTACAATCCCCTTTCCCCTGCATACTTCAAAGAAAGCTGCAGCCAGACCTTATGATCCCTGCCTGGAACACATTTAATTCAGGAGGAATCTTTTAAGAAGATATTCGTTAAATTAAAATGTAGCAAATCTCTCCTGAGCATGAGTAAATTTTAACTTTTCAAAGACCTGTGATAAGGTCTTCAGATGGCCAGTGGCTCAGCCTGAAAGCTGTGCTCCAAAGCAGAGAAACTAGAGCTGCCAAATGGAGTGTACGTAAATGGTTGACTGTTTTTAACAGTGACAAAACAAACCATTTTCTCTAACCACATTTGGATACATGTGTAAGTTTTTAAGCAAGAGTAGTTCAAAAAGATATGTCAGTCTCACATGGATAAAGCAGCATCAGCCCAAATGGGAAGGCTTAGAAAAGTTAAAAGCAAAGCCAAGTTAAAAACAGCCTCTTAATGGAAGTCCTGCATGACCTGTGCTTCGCTCAGTTCTCTTCAGGGCAGGGACTGTGTGATTTGTCTCTATCTTCCACAAAGTGCTGAGTGTACGTCACCGCTTCACCCTACGCAATAACAACAGTGTAAATGGAAGAACAGTGAACTACAGAAAACAGAACTGTATTTCATCTAAGCAGCTTCCCACTAGCTAATATTCACTTTGACATAATCCCACTCATATGCTTACACATTAACACAGAAAACCATAGTAATACAGTGGCTTTTCTTGCTACGTCTTCCTTTTCCAATCCATTCTTATTAGAATGAATCACAAGTGAATAACCTGGCTGAAAGGTAATTTTCTACTTTCTTGGTTTTGTTTCTTTGATACATCAAATCCAAAGATTGTGTTGCATGAACATCAGTAATTTCTTTATTTCAGCAGAAATTTTGGATAGAATTCAAAAATACATCTCTAATCCCAACAAACCAAACTTATCACAGAATCATAGGATCGTTTAGGATGGAAAAGACTTTTAAGATCATCCAGTCCAACCATTAACCTAACATTACAAAGTTCACCACTAAACCAATTAAGGGTAGAGTAGCAATTTCAACTTCATACAGAATGCATCGATTTCTTTAAATTTTTACTGTAAACATTGCAAAGAATTTTTTTTTTAAAATTTACTCATTTTTGTGTTTGTCTCTAAGTCAAATTAATGGGGAAGGCAATCTTAGGGGACACAAAAAAAATGTACATTTTTTCACTGCTGGCCTGTGTGCAATTTCTTCCAACTCAGTACTCGTATTAATCCAAGTCAATCAAAGTCAGTGCTTTGTTATAAAAGAACGTAAGCCTGAACTGAGAATATACCCATCTCTTGGGTATTACACAGAACCGATCTGGTAGGATATTATGCAAGTGTACACAATACACTCCAAATTCCAGGACTACACAATACAGTTTTATATGCTAGTCTGCAAGGCTAAATGATTTCAGAACTTGAAAATGTTTCATATGAATTTGATCCTTCAAGGATTAAGTGTAGTTTGCCTTTGGTTTATGCAATGCTGTACAGCAGTCACATGGACTAATTTAGAGATGCAATTTATTTCTCTATCGTAAGGGAGATACACGCTACATTGCAAATTGCAAAGGCTGCTTTATTAAGTGACAGGTAAAGCTGAGCAAATAATTCACCTTGAATAATTTATGCACTTATTTTTTATTTGTATTTCAAGAATGTCTGAAAGAAGATTATGGTGTCTCTGACATACCTGTTAAATGAAATTACCCTACAGAATTCCTCACATGGTTTGCTGTTACATGTCTGATGGTCATAGCTATGCTTAATTGTGATTGGCAAACAAAACTTATGGCATAGGTTGTTCTGGCTGAATGATCAGCAACAATCACGTTTCTTGTACAATGTAGAAGGTTTGTTTTTTTTTTTTTTTCTCCTTGTAGTGCCTCGTTTTATCTGGTGTACTTTTATCAAGAAAAAAAAAAAACAACCCCACAACATTGCTGTTCTACAGATAAGAAAACTGAGAATACAAAGAAGTTAGGGAGGAAATCCTGACCCATCTCCTGCAGTATCCTTCAGTAATGTGGTGGTTACATTATGCAATGCTGAAGGAGAAGAAAGTCCAACTGATTTAGAATAGTGAAAAACTAGTTATCAGGATAGAGAAACCTTCAACAGAAGGCTTCACAGCCTGGGGGAGGAAGGTACACACATGTGTGGAAGGAAAGGGATTCCTTAGTCCAGAAACTGAAACACAAAAATTGATACACGTTTATCCAAAATGAAATCTCACAGAATCACAGACAGATCCCACTTCATTTTACTTTCCTCTCTGATTACAATATTCACAAAGAAAATGACAGAGCTCATCAACTTTAGTGTGAGCCAGCGAACTGACTCCAAATTCAAAACAAAACAAAACAAAAAAGGTGCAGAGGGAAGAGGATCAATCGTTACTGTCCCAGGAGAACAGCAATAACGAAATATTTCTATTCATTCAGATACCAAGGGATCAGCCTCATTTATCTGTAGCTATCACTCTGCAGCAGCAGAGATCGGGGGTTCAGGTTTCCTTAACGCTGATTTCTCAATGCATCTAGGCCGAGTGTTTTCTGAAGGGAGTTATTACGATAAAACACGGCAGTTACTGGTAAAAATGAGGAGAAAATTTGTATCTTTAAAGGACATTTTTAAAATCCTATTTCAATGCTTTTTACCTATACTGATTAAATAGAGCAGCAAGATGTTTTGAGGTTTTCTTCGTGTGATTGACACATGGGGTAAAAGGTGACACAGACTCAGAGGCTTTAGTTTGTTATATATTTGCCATGTTAATCCATGAGAGTTCAACATCGCAAAATGTAGTAAGTTCTTGATGTGCAACTTAGAAAAACAGAAGTTGCTAGCATCATAGCACTGAACAGCAAAGGTGATTCCAGAACAAAAAAGAATCAGTTATCCCCCTACTTTTCACCTTTTTAGTTTCTTGTGTGGCACAAAATATTATGAACTTGATTCCCCAGGACACTAAATTCACCCTATGCTATATAAGCAATCCTGTTCAGAAGTAGAGAAAAACTGAACTCAGCATATTTATCAGCCCCCTCATTTCCAGCAGACATTCCCCTTAGGAGAGCTGGGTGTATGTGTTCAGAAAGAGTAAGATTACCAAGCTGTTTTCTTCTCTTTTTCCAGGCTGCTATGAGTGACAGGTACTAGATTAAGCTACCGTGAGAATTTACCTTATCACAAAAGGGTCTGACAGAATCAAATGATAAGTATCATCTCCTCAATGCTTCAGCCACCCCATGATTCATCTACATCTATTGGATTATCACACTCTTTTCTCCTAGCTTTGCCTCAGAATGTTGTTCACACCACTATCAGCTTCTTTTTAATGCCTCCAACCTAAAGCTGTCATTCCAAGTTAACAGAAATCGGCTCTAAGTTTTTATATTACTACTTTGACTTTGAAAGAGATAAATATTATTTCAACATAAGATCTTAAATAAAGCTAATTGGAAAATTTTCAACAAAAGTGGATTATGATTGGGGGATGGGAGGGAGGCAGGGAAGCCAGGCACTTTAAAAATAAAGCTTTCTGAAGTCTTCAATGGAATTTGTAATGAAAAGAGATGTGGCAAGACACAGAGAACCCCAAGAATGACCAGGATCCCAATGCTCAAGTACAGCTTCCATTGACCAGAAGAAATAGGGTAGAAGCAACCTGGAGATGAGATGATTGCCCTTCCTATTTATTTATGTGGAACAGGAAGGACAAGTCAATAACTCTATGCAATGCTCCTGCATGACATTAAGCAAGTTTGTTTTCCTCTCTCTTTCGATTTTTCCAGACAATAAACATCTAACACCACACAGCTGACAAGTTCATCAAAACATATTTCACCAGGCTGTGACAAACCTAACTTGACTGAAGCTTTTTAAAGAATAAGTTAAGTGCTTGAGAGTAGAAGAGGCTATAAAAATGCTCTATGCATCTGTATTTGTGCACAACACATATTATCAGCTGTGAAACTCACCCAATATAGCAACAACTTCATCATCCTGGATTACTTCCAAAGACCCTGAAACCACAAAGCAGAGGCTGTCGACACTTTCGCCGGCGTGGTAGATCAGGTCTCCCGGGGCACAGTGCACTGTCTGAAATTCCATGGCAAGCGCTCGCAGGCACCCGTCACTCGCCAGCCTGAAGGCTGGGTGCTCCTTGAAAACTTTGCGGTTCAGATGCACGCAGATATCTGCTCTCATGTCCTTAGGGCATATCTGTAAAACCTGAAAAGGAAATTAGGCAATCAATTCCTGTGCATGGCTTATAGTGTCACGCAATTATCCCTAGTTCACTACACAGGGTTTAAGAACTACTTTCCTCCTCCATATAAAATTTCTAATCTCACTACGTACATTTATTTTTGTATTATTTATACACATGAGCCACAATACCTGAAAGAAAATAATGTTTTCAGCTTAGCAACATGCCTTGCTGGATATTGAATTACCAGGATAAGGCCTCAGGTTTTTAAGACAATAAAATTAAGAGCACAGCAGTACAGAAAGTGGTGAGGAAAAGCTTCCTGAAGGATTGTTTCTAGTGGGTAGGTCACTATTTTCATAGGCAGATTCCATGAAAAGCTTGTGCAAATTATATATTCCAAGTGAGAGAACTATTGTATAGAGGGGAGGTGTAATCTTATATCCCTTTAGCCAAAAAAAAAATAAAAATTATTACAAGTTTCATTAACTCATAATATTGACATTTGCAGGTATTCAGATTCACCCCTTAGTGGCAATAATAGGTTTTTTCTTCACACAAGAAGGGACTTTAAGGTATGATACTGTGCTGGGCAACTTTTGATCTTCCAAATGCAATGTTCCTCACAGCAACTCATGACGTGTGCTCCTAAGGGTACACAAAATGATGCTTAGCACAGTGGGTACCAGTCAGGGCCATTTCTGATGGTTTTTAATATAATACAGACAGCTGAGTGGAAGGAATACAGAATTACTACTGCACGTACAGATTAAAAGTTCTTGGCAAAAACACTGGAAATACATAACATGAACAGGGGTTTGGAACGACAAAATCCTTGGAGAATAGTCTGTGATGAAGTACATTTCATGGCACATTATTTGAGAAAAACATTGTCTGCCTTTTTTTTTTTTTTTTTTTTTTAATCAGTAATAACTATTCCATCCAATTAAGGAGTACGCTGGGTGAGCTTCAGAGTTACTCCCACACATTTTCTTGGATGGAAAGAGATGGCTGCTTTGATGCAAACACTCCTGGAAAACATAAAGGTAACACAGGAAGCACTATGGCTATGCCTACACCTCACAGTAGGGCTCTGTGCAAGATCCGAGCAGAGAACCAAGCTCATAACTCTGTGCATGGCACCGGTTCCAGATCCTACACTTGCTACTCCAAAGGCAAATCACTCTACCACCAACACCATCATCACTGGCCCACCTCCAAGCAGACCTGCTATTATGGATATTACTTCTGAAAGAGATATATTTCTATAGTGCTTAATTGTAGGGCACTCATGGATGATCTCTCTCTGCCCCAGAGCAAGCAGCAGCTGAACCTGCCAGTTCCCAGTTTTCCAGGCTCACAAGAATGGGTTGGGGCAGCAAGACCAGCATTTAACATGGAACACAGGCAGCAGCCATAGCTGTCATTGCAATTATCTCGTTTACTCTGGCAACAAAAACATTCTCTATTTGCAGGGGCTTGCCAAAGTTTGGCACTGGAATTACACACATATACACTTCGCAGTTACTTGAGTATCACGCACAAAAAGGGTTGTTTTAATAGAAATAGGAGTAAGAAAACCTGAATATACAAGAGAATATTTAAAATGAGGCTCTTATCCAAAAACTCCTTGGTTTCCCAGTCTAAGAGGAAGTTAACTCATTTTCTAGTCTCCCTTTAGAGAGGTTGTCTCCAGATTTCACAAAAATAAAGGGGGATTAAAGACATTTGAGAGTTACAGACCAACAACAGAAGACTTTCATTTGTATGGGAGGTAAGAAACATATCTTCATGGATTAATTTTAGAATCCTTCAGCAGCTCTTGGTTAAATTTTGTTATCCTGGCATTTTCTAGACTTACAGACTTTGCTTTTAGCTGATTATTCAATCCTTGGCATGCCTGCAGTTACCACTGAACTGACAAATTTGTGGCCTACAAAACAGTGAGAAAATTGATTCTGTGCGAAGTTCGTCTTTAAATGTCTGCCTCATCTGTAGAAAGCTGCACTGCGTTACACAGCAGCACAACTACCACTGTTTTGTCACAGGAGCAATACATGTTTTATTCATTGCATGACATCCTAGAAGTTGTACACGGGCGTCAAACCAACAGAGCTCAGACCTGAGAGGTTATGGATGGGCACAGCCATTAATCGGTCTTACATCTGCTAGCTTTTGCTATGCAGATGAAAGCTGATTTCTTGGTTTTACAGTCATCACTACTGGCAGGTCAGCTATGAACACACCAGTTACTGAAATCAACACCATATTACGCTCTTTGACATCCTGATAATTGGAGACTTTTTTCCTGTTTATTAAGATAATTCTCAAAGGCTACAGTGAGTTGTGCTTGGTTTGGTTATCCTCCTGTCTCCAAAGGCATTCTTAAAGCATTTCTCCCCTTATCAGAGGAAGCCAAGAACAAACTTTGCAGATAAGCTAAACCAAACATGTTTTACAGAGAAATTTTTTCTTGTTGCTTTGTTAAAATGATGAGAGGAGCTTGTATTAGGGGGTGAATGAAAGTACCAGCATTCATTACACTACGTATCTTCAGATTTTGTCTCTCCACCTTCCCCAAATGTGCCCACCTCAAAACCATAACCCTGCACACAAAGATATTTTGTGAGAAAACAGGCAGAGCAGCTTCTAATCAGCACTATCCAGTACTAAAATACTGTTTCTTTCTGAAAGCTAGTATGACGGACAGTGCTTCCCAGAATCATGGTCTGGGATCTAAGTGGCAGATGTGCTGAAGACCATTTAGGAAAGCAAACAGTACCCTGTGTACCCATTGGTCTCCAGACAGCCCAGTGCAAGACCACATCTGTTCTACTCTTTCCTAACAATGCTTTAACAGCTAGACAGAAATGAGATTGTTTGCTCTTTAACTGCATCATCTACAGTTTAGAATACTAAATTAAGCCGCCAACCAGAAGGCTGGTGACCAGACCATTTGTATGATTTCCTGAATGAACCACCCCACAAATCACATCTCTCTACAAGCAGAAGAAAAACAAGTATCTATCTCCATAAAAGCTGGCAACTAATATGAAAGCGGCAAGTAGTTGCTTTTGTACATTTGTTCTGGTGAAGGGCCATTTATTATTTTAAAAGACATAATGGGAATTAACTTGTAAATTCAATGAATTAGGATGATAACATTTGCCTCACATAAGGCAGATTTCAAACATTACATTATTATTACAATAATGACTTCCAGCTTTTATTCATATCTTTAACCTGCACACAGAATATTACGTTCAAATTCTACAAAGACAAAACAAATTCTACTTTGTATTCAGGCCCACAGAACTGCAAACAACCTCACACAACAGAAACACTGCAAAAAAAATATCATTTGAAGAAATTCTGAAGTTGTGTTAGAACTTGGAACTTTTTATTTAGTTATTTTCTTTGTTTACTGAGAACCAAGCTCTTCCCTTCATTTTTATGCTAGTTCATGACACATCACCAGCAACACATGCATACTTTTACCACTAACATATGTCAGTATGACAGAATAGGTGAAATACAGTATTTGAAAGTTTAAAATTAAGGGAAGCTGCTACTTGGAACTATTTAAAGAATATTTGTCGTCTTTACTAAGAAAGTACCTCCTGTTTATTTTAATGAAATACTTTCAGGATGTGACTTGTTTCCTTGCAGTTTAATTTACTTACCTTTTCAGTATCTATTCCTCTGGACATTGACCAGGTGGAAACGATATAATCCATCACACGTTCACTCAGTCCTTTAGGAACCTGGTAGAGTTTTAGGAAGTCCCGGACACTGTTCAGCATTTCATGGTATCTGTTTGTATTAGCATACATTTGCTGAAATATGGTTGTCACATTACCAAAAATGGTTGCATACAGAAGGGCTGTAAAAAAGAGGAAAAACAATAGATATAATACATGATAAGTTGTGATGATCAGTCTGTGTTCCACTGTGCTTTAAGACTGGAAATGCCAAGCCCATAGAAATGCATGCAATATCGGTACTTTGTTAGGAAGGCCTGATGAGCACAAGCATTTTATAGTCACCTTCAGGACTACAAATTGAGGACCACCACCTACTTTTGTGATGGTGATTCCTGCAACACAGAGTTCCTGAAACACAACTATTTGTCTTTGTCCATCAAACAGTTCAGTAGTATCCAAACCCTTACAAAACCACAATAGAAGACACAAGAATTTTAAGACAAATAGCTTGACAGCTAATACTTTAAAATTTCATCTCTGGTTTATAGCACCTGTGTTGAAATGCCATCAGTGACAGATTCCCAAGCTTTAAGTGCATTACCACTGGGTAGTAAGCCAAGTCATCATTACCCACCTCAGTGTGACAACAACAATGCATCAAAGCAGAAGATGGAATATGTAATAAACAGCTACCATGGGTCAGTGATTTATAGATGTAAGTTTAATAATACATAAAAACTCGCATTATGTTTTATATTTTTCAGGCAGAAGAACAGCAAGGCCCGAGGCAAGAGCTAGAGCCCTCAAACACAGACCGAATGCTGCACAGCCCTCCAGACTTCATTCAGCACAGTTATGAAGCCAGCTGGTTCATCAAGATGGGTTTAAGAATAAACATGAGAAAGAAAAAAAGGGAGTATTTCCAGGTGTGGAGAGAAGCAGATGAAAACACACAGGACTTGGGAAGATCTGCCTGCCAAAGCCCAAGACAGAACAGCAGACTGGTGGAAGTCTCAATGGTCATGTTTTGATGGCTTGCAGAGGCCAGGGCTGAGGCTTTTCCAGCCAATCCAGCCCTGAATGAAAGGGAAGGACAGAAAGCCTCAACGGGAGCTTTCCTATGTAGTGAATCAGGTCAGTGATAAGTGAGAGGCTGGCTGTAGAGCAAGAGGAACAGTCAGACAGCAGATGAGCTGATAACCACCAGTAAGTGCTCTGGTTTGCTGAGGAAGTTCTTCCTCTTTATCATTTCCTGTCCCCCAAAACAGGCACCAAATTGTCAGTATCTCTTCCACTCGAGATAAAAACAAATAATTGAGAAGTCATGTTTATACAAAATAAGATAATATATTGCCTTATCAAAATACCCCTTTTTGCTGTTTATTTCCTCCCTCACCCGCTCTCTAAAAAAAAAAAAAAAATTCCTCATCCTATTCATTCCTTTGAGGATGCAGCTATTTATTCAGATCAGTGTTATAGGCAGGCATCCTTAAGCCAGCTAAGATGCTTTAGGGTTTTAACAAAACAAAACACCTTTGATAATATGCAAGAGAAACTTATAGGACTGTCTTTTCCCTGATCATTGAGAGATGTGATTAAAATTTAGACTTGCTCAAGGCCTTTACACTGCTGATTCTCTACATAATTCCTTCTTGATGCTTCTTTTCTTCTTATGAGTTCCTGTAGAGACCAGCTCTGGTCTGGCCTTTTCCAACTACCCCTCTGTACAGACGGGTATAAAACTATATATAAAAAGGTGCAAACTCAGTTTAAAAAAAGTGGAGAATATGAATAGGGATACAGTGAGCAGAAATGTATAGATTATTTCTCTATTTAACCTTAACTTGTGTCTGAGATAAACCATACTGGTAAATCTGATGCAATGAGTACTGAAGAACGTAGAAATTCTTTAAAAAACAGATTTACTATAAATACTCCTTAAACCATGAGTATTTTGTATTTGAACAGCACTACCTTTCCCTAACTACATCCTGTTTTGCTCTCTGTTATGCAGATGCAAACTCAGCCCTACAATATTGCTACCTTGGGCCCTACTTACATGGAGTTTTTTACCAGGTTCCCTAAGAGAAACCAAACCCAGGGCTTCCAAAACTGCAAAGTCCCACTGGCAGGACACTGCAGCAGCACAAGGCATCCACAAACATCATTATTCTGCCAGCCAGTATAACGCTGAAAATAGGTGACAGATTAGGAAGAGGGTCACAAGCAAATTTTTATCTGTAGATTTCTGGGCAACCACACTTGTGCTCATACAACTATCTTTCGCTCTCTGGCAAACAGTGAGACCTGCTGGTTCAGTATCTTGGGATGTATACCTCTATGCCAGCAAAGGTAAAATGGAGTCCCCATTCTGTCCCATTACTGTCCAGCTAGAGGAAGCCTAAAGAAAAAACAGAAATTTGGTTTTTCCTTTTAATTATTATGAGGTGAGCAGTCCTAGAGCCATTTCCACTGCAAACTGCAGCTACTATGCTCCAGTGTGACAATTATCTTGGCAAAAAAAAATAGTCCTGCCTACATTAATTTTTTATTTTTTAAAAAGTACTCAAACTTACAATCCTTAATTTATCATTAGCTAACCACTTTATTACTATTAAAGACACATTAAAGCCAAGGATTTTTGCAGCCTAATATTGGGTAGATACATTAGCATATTAAACATTGACAACTTCTGCATAGAAATAGCTAGCTGTGTGCCTTTCCTTCTTTTCAAAGGAATAATGAAATGAACCCACTGCAGTACACTGCAACCCCAGAAAGATTTCAGAAACACACACTCTACTACAGGAAGAAGGTTGGGCAATTTATGACAGAGAAAAATCTCCAAATCCTTCTTTCAGGACTGACTGAACACTGACATTAGACCACTGCCTTGCAACAGGAACAGTGCAGGTCACATGCCAACATTCAAAGGTCCCTGGAGCCCTTGGCCAGAGTTTGTAGTGTTGTTGCGTTACAGGCTCCATAGAATCTATCAACTCCTTAGCAGTCCTATGTGCAGGGGATGACAGGAGTTAAGGAAAAGTATTTTAAGGGGTGTAGGAGGGTGGGAGGGGAAGTGTCCTTGTGTGGGATGGATTCATCTCAAGCAAGGCCACAAGTGCACCATGCAGAAAGGTCACAAATTATTCTGACCCCAACAGCTTGCTTGGATGCATTAGCCAGATGGAGGCTGTGTGGTGGTTTTTAAGGAACTGTGTCCAGGAATAAGCCTGTAGCAACCATGCCTACACATCAACCAAGGAGAAAATGTCTTCTGCAGAACAAGCAATAGCCTGTTCTGACATTGCAGACAAAGCTACAGCAAGTCAAGCAGACAGCAAACACCTCCTCTCCATGAATGTCAAGATCCCTCAGAAAAGATAGAGCCCCCCCCCGCAACATTAATATTCTTTTCTGACAATAGATAAAGAAAAACACATTGTCCCCAACAATGTGGCTACCCATTTACAATGCAGTCTGTGTCACCCCATTTAAACCAGTGTTTAAATAATGTCAAAGATAAAAGCATAGTAATTTCAATAGCCAATTACCTGCACAAGTGAATCATGAAGGTCAGACACAGGTAGTAAAGGTCATCAAATCATCTGCTACTTTTAATGATGTAACAAATAAGAATAGAGATATAAATACAAGTCAGTGTAGGTCTCAACTACCACAGTGAAAGATCTGGGATCTGATTTTAGAATTATAAGAGGAAGATTTTCTATCTGTAAGAATGAGAGGTTTGCAATTACCCCAATTACAGATGTAAGTGCTGCATGCGGTTCCTGAGATGAATCATCAGATTGATGATGATTTGTTCAAAATGCACTCATCCAAAGCCCTTGCATACAAAATGTGTGCATAAGAACTACACAGCAACAAGTAAGACCAACATCAACTAGTGAACAACCTCTTACATCTTGTTCCCAAGACTTGCAGTGCTTTCTAAAACTGAACTACCTTAATTTTCACCTTCTGGAAAGCTGATCCACAAAGTCTGTCTGTCTGCATATAAGTTCCCATTAGCAATTAAAAAACCAAAACAAACCCCTTTTACATACTTAAGGAATAGCCTGTGCTAACCTAAATACTATTCAAAGAGCGAGCACCTGGATTTACCAATAGTAGATGATTTAAATGTATAATTGCACTTTTGTCTCACTAACAAGTTCCTAGTTTACGACAAATTATTGAGTTCATAGATGGCTGAGAGAAAGCATAGCCTTGAAAACCTGTTGCACTATATCACTTCTCACTGAAGGTGAAACATAACCATAAATTAACCACAAAAACTGCATGCCTCAAAGGCATTTTTCAGATAACATGTTGTGAGGTCACACAAAATTAACATTGATCAGATAAAAAGAAAAGCAGAAATTAATAATTTGGATGGATTATAACATAATTATATGAGAAAAACACATTGTTTTTAAAAGTGCAATTAGAACAATGTAAGAGCTTATAATTGCTTGAGATTAGGGGTCTTGATTAGTGATAATTATGCCTACTTATGGGTAGAGAGCATGCAGTTAGAAGAAAAATGCTGAACTGTTAATTACAGTCTGCAAGCAAATACCAAACTGAACAGGTATCTATCAATGAATTGTTTACAGCACTAGTTTTGATAGAATTGTTATTTGTAGTCTTGCAACTTGAAACCAAAGCATCTAAAGTAAGATTTATTTATCAAGTATCTACATAACCTTCTAGAATAGTACAGAATTTAAATATGTTGCCCCATTTTCTATGAAAACAGATGTAGAGCTGCTTAATTTGCTACTTCTAGCAAAGCTTTGTATATTATAAAGTTTCCTATTTGTAATCTTTTATCTACCTTTTGGTTTTTTATTAATACAATGTATCAAGATATAATTTCATTTAGCTAGTAGGAATAAATTCAAACAATTTCACCGTAATCTAATAGGTCAATTAATATTATGCACTTTATGAATTGTCACAGTACATTTACACAACATTTTCACATGGTATAAAACAAATTACAATTGCTACTATCTTCTTAGCACGTACGATATTCATACATTCATGATATTCCTGAATTTCACAACTTGGGGAAAAAGACATTTTTTGAGGTGAAAGTAAATTCCCAGAGGAGATCTCCTCCGTGCTGCTTCAGTGACTGTTAGATCCTGCTCTTCCCACAGCTCTCTATTCT